TATTTAACATAACTTGCATCTTAGGTGACAGCCAGATAACTTTGAAATGTGAATTAGAATATTCTCTGTGGAGTTTTCTAGTCTTTAGCACCCTCTGTTGACTATCTTCATGTATTACATTGTTTTGGAAAATAAATGCAATTTCTAATAAAATATAATAAAACATAAAGGTTTTGAGGACTTTCTCAATATTTTCATATATTTTTGATTAAAGAACAATACAAAATTTTTGTTCATTATTGTTGCTTATGAAACTGCTGTCAAGCCTTTTTAAAATGTGATCAAGATGTTATACAAATACTCAGGTAGCAAATACTTTGAACTAAAGAGCATTGATACTTTAAAAGCAGTAACAATAATAAATCCTCAAAAACAATATCATTAAAAAACTGCTGAAATAAAAATCGTGTTGCTTCTGGTCTGAAATCTGATAGTGGTAGGTTCATATGTAACTTCTTAGGGCAGTTATTCCATTCTGTGCACTGTGACCTGGAAAGCCTTACTTCTAGTATCCATCCCACCTCCCCCTCACATGTCAAACAGTGTGGGATGCACAGAAGGACTTCTGAAGTGGAATAAATGGAATAAGCAATATTTTCATCTTGAGGACATGAAAACTGTATCCAACTTGGGTACGGAACCAGGTTATCACTGATTCTATTGCTCTAGTCTGCAACGAGGTTGGCCATTTGGCCTCTCTTCTACCGAACAACAATTGTTAGTGATCCCCTCTTGTGTTAGGAGTGCCACCAACTTTACACAGATGCTGGAGGAACTGGCATTTTACTTTTGCTACTGCTGTCCCATGACAGAATCAGTGATGGTATTTGTTCCATCACAGGAAAAGACACTGAATGGAAAGACTGAATTATCAACTACACTGCTATGAGGGACCTGGCTCCAAAACACTTTGGTTGCAAAGCTGGACCTTGGTTGCATGGGTACAAAGGTGTTTGTCCTTGGTTCTAGGCTCTTGCCACAGACTAGCCAGAAAGGCCAAGATGCATTGCTTATTGACCATACTACTGGAATTAGCCAGCTCATAGGGGGGGGGGGGGGGGGCGTTTGCAGTTTTTATAAGGCACAGAGCACATGTAGAGAAATAGAATGAGGTCACAGGACAGGTTGCTCCCTGTACAGAAGCTAGTTAGAAACTCCACATGTGCTTCACCAGAAGCTAGCTAAAGTGCTATCTGGATACACAAGGCAACAAACACGACAAGGTAGTTCAAGGGAGCAGAAGAACTGTGCCCCAGGAAACATGGGCTGAGCATCAGAATAGAACAAAATGCCAAGAAAGGAGCATGAGAATCAGAATTGAAAACCAGCTGAAATCACAGATACTGTCCATCTTATCCCACAATGTCAGAATTGAAAGAACACACTGGGAGAGGGACTGGGAGACTTGACATCAAAGTTACCTGCTCAAGCAAGTGGAGTCCATAAAAGGAGAAGGTGAGAGAAAGGGCATAAAAGAAATCCCCTAAGGCAAACAGAAGAGGAGGAGGAGGCAGGGGCAGGGAGGCATAGAATGAGAACAGCAGCTAGAGGTGATACAGCAAGTATGTAGGGAGAGCAGATGAGGTGGGGGCAGCAAACAGAGCCAAAGCACAGGTGGATGTGGGAGCAGAAGTGTCAGTGAAAGCTTGGAAGGGAGGTGGGATACTTAGATTATCTCTCACAGCTTCATTAAACAAAACATGCCATGCATACTTAGTGGACTAGTTATGAAAGGCCTTTGCTACAGCATCCTCAGCATTTCTCACAAATACTGCTGGGATAGCATTTTGCTGTGAAGGCTCCTGAAATACTTGCTCTGTGAGGGGTTGAGGACCAAGTTGGGTAACAAGCTACAGAAAGTTGTAGAGTCCCTGAGTGGCTGTGGGGAGTAATGTGACTAGCAAATGAACACCTAACCCTCCTCGGCTTGTTTTCAGCGTATGTAATAGTGATCTGTGACTTAGCCCAATGTCTCTGAATAGCTATCAGAACTTTATCACCTAAACCAGTTTTCTGGCAGAACATTCCATAACTTTGTGAAGATGATGATCATTAAAGCCTGAGGCCACTTTAGCCCTTATCATAGGAGAAAGGTGCTTCATCCCCTTAATCATTTGTATTGTCCACTACTTCAGCTCTCCCAGTTCTAAACAGTCCCTTTGAGATGACATAACCAGAAAGGTATCCACTATTCTGAATGTACTTACATCATACACTTATAAAAAAGGGCATGATGATGGCTTATATTTCATTTTTTCCTTAATCTAATATTGTGTTGGGGCTCCAAATGAAGCTGGTTTGGAATGCTAAAAATGTGCTAGGTGCCCACATACGTGTATATACACACTAGTAACACATTTCCACAATCCTGATGTAGATTACTTTGTCTCATGATTCGTGGTTCAGAAAGAGTGGTTTGTATCTCTGAGGGAGGAAGTGGAAAATAGAAGCCATGGAGAAATCATTGAGGGAGAATTCTGTGACAGGATGGTCAGGGCATACATGGAGAAGGGCACGTGCACATCAATCTGGCTTCAGATCTGTTTTTGTGAGAGGTGGTTTTGGTTGCCCTGGTTGCTGGTTTCTCCCTGCACAGGAGAAGTATTGCCCTATCAGTTCTCTTATCAGCTGCTGATTCCATCAGCCATGGTATTATACGACCAGGAATTGGAATCATTTAATCGTGGCTTTGGTCCTGCCTTTGAGATCAGTCTCATAAGGTAAAGGGTATTGGGAATTTTCTGCTTGGCCTTTCTGTGATGTCCTGCAAAATTCCTCATTTCTGTTACATTTACATAAAACTGCCGGGGGGTGTGGCATCTGAAGATCTATGGTATGTGGGTGACATACACAGCTCTATCCATCCTTTCCTTCTGATTCAAAGGAAGTATTTGATGACTTATTTATTTATTAGATTTATAGCCCACTTTTTTTTAAAGTGTTCCAAGTGGCATTACCTCATTCTTCTGCTGCTTTCAATCTTATCTCCACAACAACAACCCTGTGAGGTAGGCTGGGCTGAGAGTCTGTGACTGGCCCAAAGTCACCCACTTGTCTACGTGATTGAGTGGGGACTAGAACCCAGATCACTCAAGTCCCAGGCCTGTCCTCTTAACCACTGCACCACACTGGCTCTTGGTACTACACCACACAGACTTGAACCAACCTGAGGCAAAAACGGGGTTGTCCTCTTCCCCTTATTCCCTCTCAGTTGGAATCTCCTCCGGTGGTATTCCAGGGAACTTGGAGGATGAACCGAAAAGAGGCAATCACATATACCAGTGATAGCCACTTTAATGGACCCTTGGCTGTCATTAGTTGAGGCATAGGCAACCTTGGAAGAATGGCAAGGGGTTTGGGGTCCAAAACAAGCACCTTGGATGAAGTAATGGCTAGTTATCCATGATGAGTTGTTATGGCACTCACACCCAATGCTGCAGTGTTTATATGTCAGTGAGTGTCATTAAGAGCCAGCAAAAGTAGAAATACTTATCTGTATATCTCTTCTCAAGGGCATGAGCCTTGACAGAGCAAGGATTAATTTGCTGTTTTGGCTTGTTGGTTGGTTAGATCAAGAAGAGGAGGTACTTAAATCTGCTGGGCTCTATTTTAAAAACACCATCGCGTTCTACTTTGCTCTAAGTATTCTACCCTCTCCCTGTCTCAACTTTCAAAACTAGCCTCTTTCAAGCTTTGTGTAGCTTTATCTCTTGGTAGAACAGCTTCACACGGAAGCGGTAGAGCATGGGTCCTCAAACTACGGCCCGCGGTATGGTTCCGGCCCTCCATGGCCATCTATCTGGCCCGCACTGCTGTTCGCCGCCTGCGCAGGCACTTGCTGCGCAGGCGGGGAGGTGGTGGCTTGCTCACCTGGAGATGGTTTTGGACTCACTGGGAGATCTCCAAGTGAGTCACCGCCACGGGCACCCGATGCCACCTTGCGCCTGCCCAACAGCACCTCATCAGCCCGTGCCCCCAGGCACCCCCACCTCACCTGCCTGCGATGCTCACTGCAGCCTTTCAGCTGGCCCCTATTCAAAAAGTTTGATGACCCCTGCGGTAGAGCCACCAGGACCATATAAAACAAGGCCAAGGGCTGCATACCTGCTGCAGATTGTCCACCTCTGCTGTAAAGGCACAAGAGCTCTGTCAGAAAAATAGTTGGATACCCTTTTGAAAGCACAGGCTAACATAATGCTAAGTTGAGCTGCTACTTATAGTATAAATTACTAATACATCAGGTTGACAGAACAGATTCTCTGCCCATATGCGAGCACTGTGCATTACCAAAATTCCTAGGGGATTGAGATCCTCCAGTGTTTATTTGGGGAGAATGGGGAAGTCCTGTTGCACAAGTCAAAGTACACTCACTTAGCATGGGACAGAACCTTTGGTTCCTAGCTGATGAGAACTGATGAGAAAACAAAATATAAATGGTTGTAGCTGAGTTAAAAGTGGGTAGGAGAACTTTGCTGAGAGATCAAAACCATTTGATTCCTCACTTCTCTGAAGTGTTTCCATTCAAGCTGGTCAGTAAGAACCACTTTGTTACTTTTAAAAGATTTAGTATTGGTGCTTACATGTTTTTCGTTCCTTTCCTCATTTTTCCTTGTCATTTCATAACATTTTAGATTTTTAATATTTTTGTCTAAGTGGTTTTAGGAGTCTTTTCAGCTGAGGAGTGTGGTGAAAATAATGTAAATAATTTTTAAACTGCAGAAGATGTAGGAAAAATATTTAGTAATGATTGGAGAAGAGAAAGTCTAGATTAGATTAGGAGTCCACATCTTATTTGTAGCCATAAGTTATTCAGCTGTGTCAATCTCTTTGCCTTCGTATGCTTTCAAAAAGCAAAGAGGTGAAATAAGTTATGTATGACATACATGGAGACATCTTTTACTTTGTGCAAATTAAATCATGCAGTGATGTCCTTTTTGTTATATAAATAAGTGATTAACCATGTCTCAATCATGTTTAATATTGTTACTTTTGCTTTGCAGAGTACCTGGTGGAGAATGCAATGGGATCAATAGCATGTCTGCGGAGAGTGGCCCTGGGACAAGACTGAGAAATTTACCAGTAATGGGGGATGGTCTAGAAGCTACACAAATGTCTACAACACAGGCACAGGCCCAACCCCAACAAGGCAGTACTGTAGCCACTAACCCACCTCCACCAGAGACCTCAAATCCTAGCAAACCCAAGCGCATGACCAACCAGCTACAGTATCTGCTCAAAGTGGTGCTCAAGACATTATGGAAACACCAGTTTTCATGGCCTTTCCAACAGCCTGTGGATGCTGTCAAACTAAACCTCCCTGTAAGTACAGCCTGAAGGGAAGAAAAGTAAAGCAATGTATTCAGTCACTGACAATGTGAGAAAACAAGTGGTGGAATGGTTATGGAGGATAGGAGGGCCTGAGGGTCCAACCAAGGATCGAAAATAATGTACATGCTTTTCAATCTGGGGGTCAACAGGAGCATACAACTTTGTTAGGCTTGTGTGACATTATAACGAAGAAGGTTAACACAGTATAGCGTTCCTTCAGAAGTACTCAGAAGAGTAGGATAACAATGAGAAAGCATACCCAGGTACTGAAGTACTGGACAATATGAAGGGAGAGGGCAGCAGATATATCCATAGTAAAGTGAGATAAGTAAAGAAGGTGGATGGTATACCCTGTTGACTTGGTGAGGGAAAAGAATAAAGAATGGAAATGGAACAGTATATATTCAGAGGACTTGTTTTCACAGGTTTGTTTCTTAATACTGGAAGGTGGAGTGGGGAGGCTATTTAACATGTCCACTCATACTCTTCATTGCCAGTCCCAGTCATCTCTCTCTCATGTCTGTCTAATGTAGATCACACACCTCCTGGATTAGAGCTGTATGATTCTTAGCTCTAATAATACTTGTTCATCATTGGTATTAAATATATGTTTAATAGCTGTAACAGCTCTGTTAAGCTACCAAAAAGGTTTTAAATTCCCTATGGCAACACTTCAACTTATTTATTACTTGATTTACTTCATATCAAAACTAAGCAAGAGGTAGTTATACTTAGCTCATTTTGATGGGTATTAACCTCTCTTCCCCATTTAGGGTTAGGCTAGGGGTCTCACTCTCTCCCCTCTGTTTTTTAGTTCCTGTGCAGAGAGGAGTAAACGCCAAAATATAAGTGGCTGAATCAGGACCCTATATGGTGACTTGTGAGGAAAAAGGATCTGTTAACACTACATATGTAGTAGTTTAGTTTAACCCCTCAAATCATGGAGGGCCCAGTCCAGGGAGCTGAAGGTGGGAACAGTATAGTTTCTTCCAGTATCACCCACCTTGTATAAAATACTAACTGCATGAGTTCTTCCTACTTTGCTGTAATAAAAATATTTTAATTTGTGAATTGTGCTCAGGGATGTCTGGATTAATTTGATTGCTGTCATTTTTGTCTGATCCTAGACAATTGAATAACGCTATTGGAACAATTCATTCAACATGAAAATGGGAAATTGAGTAACATGAGTTATCACTCATTATATTAAGACACTTGGTGGGCTATTTAGCATACCAAGATCTCATGATGCGTTGGGACTGGAGATAATTGCACTTCTGAGTTTGCTGATTTTTATACTAGATGGTTCTGACTCTGGAGTTGTCTTTAAACAGTTTGTGTTGCTTGCTGGTGCAGCATTGTGGGCTCCTTTTTAAGAATTGTAATGCTTCGTTTGCCTACCATTTTTCCTTACCTTGTCCATCTGAATCTACATGCTGTACTGAGCAGCATTGCTGTACAGATGGCTTCTGTACAAGGGCTGTTGAAAATTCCATCCAGCCATGCTGATGCAAGCAGAAATAATATGGTCAGAGGACTGGGCATTTCTGGACCCAAAATAAGTCTGTGTTTTCAAGGGTCAGAAGACACACGCTGATGCTGTGTCTTAGTACACTGATAAGCAGTTTATGGGCTATGAGTTCTGCCCTTGAACAGAATGCTTAAAATGGAGACATTTTTATTAGCTTCATTGTAGAATAATAATGTTTAAGCACACCTACATTTTTAAATAGCCCTAGAAAAGAGTTTTTGGTAGGAGGAACAAGACACCAAGAAAGGAATATGTCTGAGTTCTGATGAGTGGTCAGCAAATGAGGTAGTAGATGGAACCATAGTCCTGTAAGTACATTCTGTAGCATGCATAACATACTGTATCAGACAAGCTGGGAAGCAACCAAAAGTGGAGATAGGTTCCTTTGTTTTGTGAGCAGGCATTCTAATTTATAAATTCTGTGATAACTTTTGGGTAACGTTCTTGGTAAAAAAAAAAAAAAAAAAAGGAATTTCTTGAATCTGCCTCACTTTAAGATTATGATAGAATGGCAGTAGGTCGGCCCAAAAGAGAAGCTGTCCTTAATAGTGCCACAAAACAGCAAGAAGAACATGAGTAGCTTTCTGTTGTTAAAGACTGTCATTAGGAAAGATTATCAACCAACTAATTTAACTCCTGGTTTAGGGGAAAAAACTATTTGGACTGTAGTACAGCCTGAAACTGGAGTATTTCCTAAAGCTGGGGGCAGGGGTGGGAGATGTTGCTATAAAAGGCTTACTCAGTGCAGATTCCACATTTTGTTTGTGTATAGAGCTGTCTGTTTAATCAAATGCTGGTTTCTTATCCACAATGTTCTTGAACTTTATAATCTGAAATTTGTCTTGTTTTTTTCCTTTCTGTAAAATGTTGTGGTAAATCCAAAATGACTGAGGAAGGGACATCCAACCTAAATGGGGATATGAAACTTTGATCAAACCTTCCCGTGCCATATTCCCCCAGTGGAAATCCCTTCCATTGAACTTGGTATTAGCTACAGAGGGGCAGGACGCATCTTTTGTATAAATTGTGGAGGAGAAGTTTACTCTCCAGGCACCTCATATGCAAACTTTTCCCACTGCAGCTGATCTAGACCTTAAAAAGCTGAGCAGTTTCAAAGTTTAGGACATCTGGCAAATTAGGAAAGGCGAGTATAACTTTCTGTAACATAATTCAATTAAAATGTTGGACTAGAGAATGGATGAAGAAAAGAGTTAAATGCAGGGATTATAGAAAATGTGAAGATAGGATTTTAGAAAAGGGAAAACAAGTGAATATGCAGCTGAAAGGGATGGTGAGTAAAATTTATAAGAGAACAGGATCAGTATGATTCACTTAAATCAACATTGGAAACAGGCTTGAGAAAGAACATGAGTAATGAAGATTTGAAAAATATTTGGATAAAGAGGATATTAAAATGTATGTCAGTAAGAATAAAGGAATTAATAACATTGTATGGAAGTGGTACCTAATTCCAGTGAAGTTGAACTGTATAGATAACAAATAGTCCAATTTATGTTGGAGAGGTGGTTGTGAAGTTGGTATATATTTTCATATGTGGTGGGAATACAACTATATAATGACATTTTAGAGAGAAGTTTTTAAAGGGTGTAGCAAAAATGAATATAGACGTATGCCCTGAGATTGCATTACTGTCAATGTTTTAGAAAAAACGAAGGAGCTGGAATAGTAAAGAAATAATACCAATAGTATTTAAATGAGAAAAGGGCATATAAAGAAAAATAATTATATTTGAGAGGGCATATTTATTTAGTATGTCTTTTAAAACGGGAAAGGATTTGAGCTGTTAAAAGAATCATTACGCGCTGGTGACTTCCTGCCTTGGCTTCTGTAACGCGCTTTACGTGGGGCTTCCCTTGAAGACAATCCGGATACTTTAGTTGGTTCAAAATAGAGCTGCTAGGCTGCTGACGGGGACGGGGCGTTATGTTCACATGACTCCAGTTCTCCGTCAGCTTCACTGGCTTCCCATTGAAGTCCGGGCCCAATTCAAGGTGTTGGTGATGACCTATAAAGCCCTAAACGGCTTGGGACCTGGTTACCTGAAGGAGCACTTACATCCATATATGCCTGACCGCCTCTTGAGATCTGCGGGAGAGGCCCTTCTCCGGGAACCCTCCGTGAAAGAAACTAGGAGGGTAGGTACTCGGAGGAGGGCTTTCTCTGTGGTGGCGCCCAATCTATGGAATGTGCTCCCCAGAGAGGTCCGCCTGGCGCCGTCGTTATTTGTTTTTCGGCGCCAGGTGAAGACCTTTTTATTTAAATGTCATTTTAATTGTTAACAATATTTACTTATTTATCTGGCCAGGGCGACTTCTTTTCTTTTCATTTATAACTTTTCTAACTCCTTTTATATCGTTTATATTTTTTATTTATTTTATATAATTAATTTTAATTTTATATTGTTATTTTTGTATTGTATTGTATTGTATTGTGTTGTAAGCCACCCCGAGGCTTCGGCAAGGGGCGGCATAGAAATGTTCTAATAATAATAATAATAATAATAATAATAATAATAATAACAACAACAACAACAACAACAACAACAACAACAACAACAACAGATTTGGAAGGGGATTATGTCCTGAAATGTTTGAATGAGGCCTTTTTTTATCAGTAACAAGTATCCTTGAGCCTGATGGTGAGGGGCACAGTATTGTAAGAATTATTTTAATTGTATGTGTAGTAGCTTTATATGTTTTTATTCTAAATGTAGTGTCATTTTGGTTGCATTTTAGATTAAAAATTAATTTTTAAAATAATTAAAAGAACATCTTGCAAGACAATTTTCGGGGGAAGCAATATTATTTTTCCTGCAGATTAATAAGGCACTGTTATTCTTGTCTTTGTTATTGTAGGATAACTGATTATTTTGTTCCTTGTTTCATTTGAATGCGTTAGGTCTAAGATTATTTTCTAAAAATTGTACCAAAATATGTTGTCCTTTTAGAAACTAGAGTTCAGTCAGATAGATTCTTCAAGATTTGCTCTCTGGAAAGGTTTTATGCAATACACTTAATGATGCCTTCAGATGCCATACTTAATCAATCTTCTTTCCCACAGGATTATTATAAAATTATTAAAACTCCTATGGACATGGGAACAATAAAGAAACGCTTGGAGAATAACTACTACTGGAATGCTCAAGAATGTATCCAGGACTTCAATACAATGTTTACAAATTGTTACATCTACAATAAGGTGTGTTTTCTTTATACATTTGTCCCTTGCTCCTGACATGCAGGTACCTGCTTGACAGCTTTCTCTGACTTGTTTCCACCTTAGGCCACTGCTGGCCGTATCCTGGGCCTGTGCAGCAGAAACCTTCATTTCTACTTTCTGTAATTGGTCTAACTGGGCACCCCTGCCCTCAGTCAGATTGTAAAAAGGAGATAATTCTCTCTTATGAACATAGGAACATGTTCACAAACTCTGGTTGGGGAGGAGTACAATAATTTAACATGTTATGCGTGTGTGTTACTTTAATTGTTGGTAAGTTTCAGAAGAACTGGAGGGGGTTAAAGGGGGATGAGGGAGGGAGGTGATTGGTTGGTGTCTGAGAGTGTGTGGACAGAGCTTGGAGGTGTGTGAAGAGAGGAAAATAGATACTTTCAGTCTATCAGCAGGTAACAGTTGGAGCTGTGGCAGAATCTGAAGAGACAGCCTTCCCATTAGAATCCCAGCTAGTGGTGTGGAAGGCATTTCAGGATTCATAAGGAAAGGGAAGGAAGTAGGATACTTGGAGGACATATTACTGCCTAAGGAGAGGCAAAACCAAACACTGTTGCATACTACAAGGGTGTGAGAGAGAAGCTGGCAAAAACCTAAGTGCAGAAGGGAAAGCTTAAACTGAGATAAATAGAATAAAGTCTGATCAAAGTACATTTAGAGGAAAAAGGAGTGTTTGTGAAGGGAAAGCGTGAGATACCTCAACCAGAAGTTGTTACTATACGCTAAGGAAATAAGTACTCAACAGCTTGAAACAAGTATGCTTATTGCGCAAATAAAGTTTTACTGTTAACTCAGAGTCATAGGCTGCTTGAATATCTGTCATCCTCAGTACCACATAGTCCAACAAAGCAGCGTTGCAGCTTGGGCACAATACTGTGGGAGAAGTTAGTTAATAAGATTGGAATCAAATTCCTGTCAGCAGTGTTACAAACCCCAGAGAAAGAGAGGGAAATATCAAGAAAATCAAAGACACTCTGTATCCAAACAAATTATAGGAGAGTATTCGTGACAGGAAGTTTTCTTCTTCAGCAGTCAAAAACTGCCTGTTAACTTCCCTTCATAGCAAATAGCTTTGATTTTTAAAGGTTGCTTCTGTTACATTGAAGTAAGCACATGTACCCCTAAAGCCCCTTCTTTTCTGCAGTCATTAGTGTAAATCTCATGGCAAAGCAGTAAAATGGAGGGGGAAAACTGAACAAAATTTGCACATGGTTAGCATTATTTCTTCTTCCACCACCTTACAAGAGATTTGCACATAGTTAGCTTTATGCTTTTCACCTCTGGGGAGATGTGTACAAATTGAACTTTTAAAAAACTTTCAGGAGGATATTTGCAACTTCATGAAGTACAATACCTACTGTACTTTAGTTGTTATGCTTTGGTGAATCTACACAAATCTTTCTGAGAGTAAAAGAAAACAATAAAGTTTCATTTGTGCAAATCTCCTCAAAAGTTGGAAAAAATAAATATGACCAAATCTAGGAAGTTGAGGAGGGGAATCTATGAAATAAAATTTATTCAGTTAATTATTGCATATGCACTCATCAGCAGAGGAAGCTGCTATGGTTGTGTTGGAAAAGTCCATGGAATACATTTTGGTAGTGAGCAAGAAGAGACAAGCCACAGCAGCTCTCAGAGTGCCTCATTCCCTGTCAAATGTAACTTGACCAAATAACCAACCCATGCAAACTTATTTCCAGGATAGTTTATTGTGATGTGTGAACTGCCCTGTGATTAGTTGTATGCCGTGTATTTCTCCTTTCTGAGCAATAACTGAAATATTTTTTATTTAAATCTACTGAGCAAATATGATTTGGAAGACATACAATTCAAAGTGACTACAGTGGTACCTCGGCTCACAAATGCCTCAGTTCACGACCAAATTGGATTGCAAACACAAATTTCATAAAAGTTTTGACTCAGGTTGTGAACTCCGCATTGGGTGGTGACTGTGATCACAGCCACCCCCCCCCCCCGAGTGGGGAGATGGCCGTGATCGTGCTGGGGGTGAGGGGAAATGGCCAAGATCGCGCCCATCTTTCCTGCAGGAATGTGCCCATGATTGCCCATCTTTCTGCGATCTCAGCCATCTCCACCCACCCCAGGACGATCGTGCCCGTCTCCCCCCCACACACACAGCATGCTGGGATGATGGGTGCAATCGCGGTCGTGCTGGGGGCACGCAGGGAGATTGCCGCACTTGTGCTCGGGGTAGGGGGGGAGATGACCGCAATCTTCATTGTTGTTTGTCACTTTGCTTCACATTTTTCTGATTAAAAAAAAAAAAGTTACAGAACAGATTAACCTTATTTACATTGAACCTTGTGGGGAAATTTAACTTGGCTCACGACCAATTTGGGTCACAACCAGAGTCCTGGGACGGATTAAGTTTGTGAGCCAAGGTACCACTGTATACTGAACAGTGCATAGGAAAGGATGCAGTAAAAAGCAACTCGAGGTCTTAAGCTTCTAATGGAGGCACAGCTTCCATTTAAAAATGCTTGATGATGTGTTAAAAACTCAGAATGGTTTCCTAAATTCATATGGACAGATGTTTAAAGTCAGCAAATAATGCATCATCCTCATCATATAATGATATGTCATATAATAAGCCTCCAACACATTTGTGAAACTTTTAAGTGCAAATGGCAAGTAACTTATTGTGCTGTGTTGCCAGTCTCACAGGTCCAAAAAAGTTGTGACTTGTGATTCTACATACATGCTGGTATCTCCAAATATTGATAACAAGTTGGTTTTCTGTTTTGTTCAGCCAGGGGATGATATTGTTTTAATGGCAGAAGCATTAGAGAAACTTTTTCTGCAGAAAATCTCTGAAATGACCCAGGAAGAAACTGAAATTGTTATAGTCCAGACAAAAGGAAGAGGACGTGGTAGGAAGGAAGCAGGTACTGATACTTGATTTACTATTTGTGTTTCTGGATGGTTATGACAGCAGCGGTGGCTGCTGCTGTTATATTTATACCCTGCCTTTTTTCCTGCAAGGAACCCACGGTAGCTTAGATCATCCTTCTCTCCGTGTTATCCTGTGAGGTGGGTTAGGCTGAGAGTTAGTGATTCTCACCCAGTGAATGTCATGGCCGAGTGGGGACCAGAACCTGGATTCCTCAAGTCCCAGTCCTACAGCTAACACTGCATTTTCTATCTAATTTTGAACTAGAAAAATGCTTGCTTGCTATCATTACATATGTGTATAGAAAGCATATATTTGAAAAGACTGCTTTGAGGTAGCGTACAGGTTTCTATCACCTGATGGCCTAATTTATCCACAGAGGCAGTTGCATTGTGTAAGCACAGATTTTTCATGGTGCCTGCAAGCTCCTGGCCTGCTGTGGCTTTTCCTTTCATATGAACTCAGGCAGCCGGGGTTGTTTGACGGTTATACAATGTACTCATTGTGTAACCCTTTCCTTTTCTTCATGCCTGTTGAACAGCAAATCCACAACAAATTCAGGAACAAGAAGGAAAACCCAGTCTCCTAACATTTTTTACAGATTTGTTTTAAAAATAAATTTTTGAAGTGGGCAGGGAGTGGAGAGTTTTATGGGCACCATTGGAGTTCCCCCATGAGTGCTTTCCTGAGGTGGAGTAATTTGAAGCAGCACAGGTGAGTGTGAAGAGAATGTTCTGTCTTGGATTTGTTACAAACTTGCTTCAAAACCTAGAGTCCAGATTGAAGCAAAGTTTTCTTTATTGAAAGGGTGCAATGATGGAACCAGGGGATGCATAAAGGAATTTGTAAAATGAAATAGATGTTCAAAAGCTTTCTTACTATGCTACATTAAAACTTTTTAAGACAAATACTCAGGGATTTAGGGGCTTACCTGTGTAGACAGAATCACCAATTCATCAAAGCAAGTAACAAAGGAATAATGGGATCTCAGTCCAGTTTTATAATGCTTATCCAGAGGGCAGGGCTCCATGGCAGAATAAAAGGGGCTGCATTTATTTATTTTATTTATTTATTAAAACATTTTTATGCCGCCCCATTCGCCAAAGCCTCGGGGCGGCTTACAACAATAGATAAAACCAATAAGTTAAAATATACATATAAAATAATCGTAATAATTTAAAACACACATTATAAAATAAGCCGCCCTGGCCAGATAAAATTCAGTAGTATTATCATTTAAAATGTTGCTTAAATAAAAAGGTCTTTGCCTGGCGCCGAAAAACAAATAATGACGGCGCCAGGCGGACCTCTCTGGGGAGCGCATTCCATAACTTAGGCCCCACATCTGAGAAAGCCCTCCTCCGAGTAGCCACCCTCCTAATTTCTCTCACGGAGGGCTCCCGGAGAAGGGCCTCTCCCGCCGATCTCAGGGGGCGACTGGGCATATATGGATGTAAGCGCTCCTTCAGGTAACCAGGACCCAAGCCGTTTAGGGCTTTATAGGTCATTACCAACACCTTGAATTGGGCCCGGACTTCAATGGGGAGCCAGTGAAGCTGACGGAGAACTGGAGTCATGTGAACATAACGTCCAGTCCCCGTCAGCAGCCTGGCAGCTCTATTCTGAACCAATTGAAGTATCCGGACCATCTTCAAGGGTAGCCCCATGTAGAGCATGTTACAGAAGTCAAGACGGGAAGTCACCAGCGCATGAGTCACTGTTGCAAGGCAGTCGTACTCCAGGTAGGGACGCAGCTGATGAATCAGCCGAAGCTGGAGGAAAGCGCTCCTCGCCACTGTTGTTACCTGAGCTTCGAGTGAAAGCTCCAGGTCGAGCAGCACTCCCAAGCTGCGGACCTTGTCCCTAGGAGGGAGTGCAACCCCGTTCAGGACAAGGTTCAATTCACCTTCTCCGAAGCCTGAACCGCCAACCAACAGGACTTCCGTCTTGTCTGGATTGAGCTTCAGTTTATTGGCCCTCATCCAGCCCATTACCTCGGCCAGGCACCGGTTCAGTACAGCCACTGCCTCACCTGGATTGGTGGAAAACGAGAGGTAGAGCTGGGTATCATCAGCATACTGATGGTTCTGCAGCCCACACCTCCTGATGACCTCTCCCAGTGGTTTCATGTAGATGTTAACAGTAAAGGGGACAAAATGGACCCCTGCGGTACTCCATGGCAAAGCTGCCATGGCACAGAGCCATAGTCCCCCAACACCACCTTCTGGAATCGGTCGTTGAGATAGGAGCGGAACCACCGCAAGGCGGTGCCTCCGACCCGCAATCCCGCCAGCCTATCCAGAAGGATACCATGGTCGATGGTATCGAAAGCCGCTGAGAGGTCCAGGAGAAACAACAGGGACGCACTCCCCTTGTCCTTCTCCCTGCACAGGTCATCGTACAGGGCGACCAAGGCAGATTCAGTACCGTACCCGGGTCTGAAGCCGGACTGAAATGGGTCCAGATAATCAGTTTCATCCAAGAGTGCTTGGAGTTGTCCCGCCACCACTCGCTCTAACACCTTCCCAGAAATGGGATGTTGGCCACTGGTCTATAATTAGTGGCCATCCCTGGATCCAGTGACGCCTTCTTCAGGACTGGTCGGACTACCGCCTCCTTTAAAGGGGCAGGCACCCAACCCTCCCTCAGAGAAGCATTAACCACTTCCAAGATCCAGGTTCCAATCCCGTGCTTGGAATCTTTTATTAACCAAGACGGGCAAGGGTCCAGAAGGCAAGTGGTAGGACGTACTTGTCCAAGCACCTTGTCCACATCATCGGGCCGCAATAACTGAAATTCATCCAATAATTCTGGACCAGACGGTAGCGTTGGTGTCTCCCTTAAAACCTCTGAGTCAATAGTGGAATCCAGCTCGTGACGAATCTGAGCGATTTTCTCCCTGAAATGCCCGGCAAAGTCGTCACAGTGGGCCTTTGAGGGTGGAATCAGCTCTTCCTTCGGACCTGGACGAACCAGGCCTTGCACCACTCGAAAGAGCTCCGCCGGACGGCATTGTGAGGAGGCAATGGAAGCGGAGAAGAATCTCTTCTTCGCCACCCTCACCGCCACAGCATAGGCCCGATAATGGGCTCTTAAGTGTGTTCGGTCAGATTCATCCCGTGATTTCCTCCACCTACGCTCTAGTCGTCTCCCAACCTGCTTCATCGCCCTCAATTCTGGGGTATACCAAGGGGAAGAGCGGGCTCTGCCCGGTGGGAGAGGACGCTTAGGAGCGATCGTGTCTACAGCCCTGGTCATCGCCCCATTCCACAGTTCAACCAGAGCCTCGACAGGAGCACCCGTCTAGCCAGGAAGGTGCTCTTCTCTTCTTTGGGATTGAGGAGATGGAGTTAGAAAAGTGTTGATTAAAAAAGACAATTTCTCTAGAAATCTCTGGCAATTTTAATGCATCAAAAGTCTTTCTGTTGCAAATCTGGAAATCTAATCAAAGGGAAGCATAGCATGCTAGCATACTTGACTGAGGATGCTTTAGTTTTAAAGAGACAGACACTTGGATGACAGACCCATTCAGCAGCCTCTCATAATAGTAGAGGCAACCTGAATCTCTGTCATGTGTTGAATGTTGCAGGATAAAAATGTGTTTTCTATTTAACTTCTGCTTTAAAAATAAATTACTGCTTATAATGATTTATATGAATATTCTAGGTGCTACTTCTGTGTACTGTCACTTCTCTGACATCTTTGCTAATTTGCTAATAATGGATTAAGTAATGCAGGCTTCTCTAACATTCCCTGCAGTTGTTTTGAGCTGCAACTTTCATCCTCCTGAACCGGGTGATGATGGAATTTGTAGTTCAAAATAATTTGTTCATGTTGGGCAAAGCTGAACTATTGTTTGTTTCCAGAAACCTAAACCCTACTTTGTCTATTGCTTTGAAAAGATGGGAGGTAGCTGTAATTGTAAAGATAATAAAATTGGACAAAGGAGAAGAGAACATTCTTTCTTTTCAGATAAGCTGTTTTCCTCTATTAGATATTGGAATAAACCATGGGCTCTTTCATTACTGGATAAGTTGTTGAGAGATTGTTTTTGTAATAGAACAATCCCTTACACGTACAGCTCACCAGGGGAAGAAAATCTATACATTTCAGATTATATAACATCAGTGTTAAACAGTGTTGCCATGAAACTCTGTTTTTGTATACATAAAGGCTTGATATGCAGAATGTGACCTTGTCTCTTTCTGACAGTTACATCCAAGGCAGGCGTATCAACGGTACAGAATGCAACTCAAGCATCATCCCCACCACAGACCCAGACGCCACAGCCGAATCCTCAGCCCGTGCAAACAACTCATTCCTTCCCTTCTATGACCCCTGACCTCATTGTCCAGACGCCAGTAATGACAGTGGTGCCTTCCCAACCTCCTGCACCACCGCCTCCCCCTCCCCCTCCCCCTCCTCAAGCTTCTGCTCCCCAGCCCATTCAGACACACCCACCAATAATCCCGACAGCCGCACAGCCCATGAAGGTGAGTAAACTAGATACTGTTTAGTTTCATAATGGCAAGTATCAATCCCAGATAAACTGGTGAAAATATATACAGCCATGATCAGGCATTTGCTTAAGGTGTATTCCTCCTAACAGCTGTTGCACTGCCTTCTTGGACAATTCTGTCTGTTTTAGTTTAAAATAAATGTGCTTGTGATGATCTGACAGTGGGTTAGTGGGCATAATCATGCTACTTTTGGGAGTTGGTCCATGTTAAGCTTGCACAATCACCAACAATTTCAGGGAGGATTCCTTAGTCTGAGGAGGGGCTTCAGTTTCCCCACTACCCAGCAATCCTGGCACTGCTGAGATTGCTGCTTTTTCTTTGCTGATTTTGGAAAACGTTGGTGGGATGGACAAGTTTTAACCTCCCCATTTCAGCAAGTAGGGACAAGTGTTCTAAGTATGTGTGTGCGATGCAGCACCACATGCAAGCTGTAAGAGACAGAAAGGTTGCCTACCTGTGCTTTAGTTAAAATGTGAACAAGAGGAAGCCCACAAACAAGGCACTGAACCCTTCCTTCTCTTGTGAAAATGGCAGTGTTCCTTAGATGCAAACAAACAGTTTGCTGTACATTAAAAAGTTGTGCTGTAGTTCTTGTCTTTAATGTACAGGAATAGCAGTGATCTCATATTATAAATAGTCTTACATAACTCTTGTACATCATTTAAAAATGATTTTAGGAAGTAAAGGCTAGGTAGCAATATATTAATTTGCTATAGTTCATCTTCTAAAAGAAAATATTTCCTAATCCAGTCTTTTTAGGAAAAACACCAAAAAATCAGTATAGAAAACAGAAAGAAGTTTTTCCAGGTGTTTTCCTGGGCTATCACATCTTTCATTAAAAGCATATACATGCTAAGAAAGGAAGCTGCTTTTGTTGAGGATGTACATGTTTATCTCGTGTAAACTGTGAAGGAACCCTGAACTGCTGTGGAAATAGAGTGGGTGCAATTTCCTTGTCTGCTGTCCTCCTAAGACATCTTTTTAAAAGGTTTTTCAGAGGAATATATAATAGAGCACATCCACCTTATCAGGAAGGTCATGTTGTGCCATCATACAAGCCTTATGAACTTGGTAGAAAGTAGACTCATCTGTTCATAGAAAGCATCACAAAGCTTCACACAATATATATGTAATGTAGCACCAAACCATGGGTTAACCACTGGGCTCTTTAGCCCCTAAATGATGCAGTGGCCGAGTTTAAGCAATCACACTCAACAACCTATAATGGAGTTGATTGTGGGTTGCTGAATAAAAGCAGAGGAAGTGATTGTGTGAGATGGTATGGGAGCTGCAGGTTGAAGGAGGAATCTGCAAAAACAACAGTAACAACCCATCTCTTTCCTCCAGTGGGGAGCTTCCTTTGGATCCTTTTTTTCTCTACCAATGGGGGGGGGGGTACTCCAAATTCAGCCCATGTTGATGAAGTTTATTTTAGTATGTTTAAACTGTTCCACATGTACTACTCCCACACAGATAAGGTCAGTGGTATATAGATTAACTTTTTAAAAATAATCCTTAACACTACCTTGTAACACTACCTTGTAAGGTCAGGCAAGACTTAAATTAGAGACTTTAGCATTTCACTGTTGGCTCCTACACAGCATTATACCAATTTTTAAAATGTTTTATAAGATTGATATTTGGTAAATGACTTTGGTAACTTATATACACTTGGCCTTCATAAAGTGAAGGGTACATGAAGTCTTTGTGACTGTAGTTTCTCCTTGTGTGAAGTGTGGTGTTCCTTATGACATGTCCATAGTACAATGTGCCAGTAAAAGAACAGATGTCTACATAGTGTCTGTTTGCTTTTGCAGACAAAAAAAGGTGTAAAGAGGAAAGCAGACACTACAACTCCAACAACAATAGACCCTGTTCATGAATCCTCCTCACTGCCCACCGAACCCAAGTCCGTCAAAGGAGGTCAACGAAGGGAAAGCCGACCTGTAAAACCTCTGAAGAAGGAGGTGCCAGACTCTCAACAGCATGTACTGGAGAAAAGTAGCAGTAACAAAGTATCAGAACAATTAAAGTATTGTAGTGGGATAATAAAAGAAATGTTTGCAAAGAAGCATGCTGCATACGCATGGCCCTTCTACAAGCCTGTGGATGTAGAAGCACTTGGGCTACATGATTATCGTGATATCATTAAGCATCCTATGGATCTGAGCACAATTAAAGTAAGTGCAGTTTTATATTGTATTTTGCTGTCTTGCATGCAAGCATATACTCAAAATTTGTTCTCAAGTTGCTAGCCTTGTGTTTACTATTAACAAGAATATTATGAATATTTTCAGTTAATTAGTCAACTATATATCTAGCATGGAGTTTGCGAAAGTACAGCAAAGCAGTTACTTTACAAAATAGAGTGGTATTTTTCTCCAAAACTTTGCCTGCTAGTTGGTATCCTCTCTTGTAGAATGTTAAGGACTGTCATTCATTTACAACAGAGGTAGAGGACTTTTTTGGGAGGTCTCTAGAAGACCCTCAACAGCAAAACAGCCCCAGCCAAGGTACCCTCTTGGGGGAGCATTTCAGCAGCTGACACCTCAGCCAGGGCCTGCCTTCATGGAGCATAGGCTTTCCTGGAAGGGATCTATTTAATGGAGTTGGGATCCACTGGGATCTGGTGCCAGTATGAGGAACATGCCTAGGTCTGTGCTTCTGTTAGAGCAGCTTTGCCTGCCTCATGCCTTTTTCCTTAATGTGTTGCTTGCTCTACCAAGGAGAAACAGAATGCAGGGGAATTACTACAGGTACCTACAATCACTGATTGAAAATAATGACCAATGACAGAATGGAAGTAATAACAGGGATTCTGCTCCCTGCTAGCCTTCATCAGACAGGTTGAGAGAGACGAACTTTCCTTGAGGCCTTTGCTCCTGAAGACCAAAATTGGTCTGCAGACTAGAGGTTCCCCATCTCTGATTTATAGTATGCATTATGCATAGGGATGCTACATTAATTTTCCACATTGTACATTGGTGTAGATTTTCTGCTGCTGTAGATAAATATGCCAGGCAGTCCTTATAGCAATCAATATTTGATTTGATTTGTATCAGGAATGGAAAATATCTTGATAATGGGATGTGAAAACTCTTTTGCATACTCCTTAGAGAGAGAAAAACAGATGCTGTTGGATTTACAAACCTTACATGAACTTTGTAATTTGGTTACAGAGACTCCAAAAATGGCAATAATACTGATAAGTTTTCCCTCCACTTTTATAGCGGGTCCAAGTACCACCCCTACTGCAGGCATTAAATTGACATGGGATTTTAAAGCAACCTTTATATTTGCATATATATCGTGGAGGATTTCTCAGATTTTCAGGCTTTACATATTATCTACAATGTGCTCTTAAACCTGAACTTTCCATGATCAGTAGCTGGAAATGCAGATGAGGGTTCCGGCAAGTAGGGATAGAAGTGAAAGGAAAGTAAGCCCAGATGCATGCAGATATTGTTTGAAGATTGGAAACAGACACATTCTGTACATCCTTGGTTTTGAAGAAAGCAACCCTCTGCAGAATTGAAAAAACCCTGCAATCACTGACCCCATTCAAAGAGAGATTAGGAGCTCTGCTCAAGCAAGCCAGTAGCATCAGGTGTTTTATCATAAGCCACTTCATAACTTTCCCAAGTTTGAAAAACTGTAACAGTGTATAGGGGAGTTCAAGGCAGGACCTACATTCCTTAAGAAGGACTATTTCTGCTGGAAAAAAATGTATCTACAGGAAAGAATTTTGAAGCAGTCTTCTTTCTGTGTGACATTGTAGTTATCACTGTCTCTGGATTCATTCTCTGTATCTGTAAAAACTGAAACAGAAATGATGTAGCCCACAGGGTGTTTGGAAGCATGAAATGGAAATAAGACACTGTTGCAAGGATTATCTTTTTAGGTCAGTGGGTGCATTTAGCAATTTGAGGAACTCCTGGGCACCACTATAAAACAAGTGTCCTTCAGCTTAAAGAATCAGACTGGAGCCATCTGCCATCTACATTTCCTAAGAATATCTCTGAGCCCTTCCTGTGGCCCAGAGCTATTAATGGGAAAGAAAGATGGAGGCAACTTAGCAGCCTTCACTTTGAATTGAAGCAATCCCAGCTGCTGGTAATTAGTATTTGTTGTTTTAAAAAATAGGTACATACAGGTAGGGGTATGACCACTCAGCAATCACCAAAAAGAGATGTACAATGGTGCAGTGGGTACCATATTACCTATCCCTGATCTGTTGTGCTTTTAGTAATGAACAGTCCATAATCCGCCCATTTTGTGGCCCCCATATAGCAGAAATGCCATCATGCTCTGGATTGCTTTCTAGACTCCTTGACAGGCCAGACAGAGTTTATTGTAGAGTTTACAGTGATGGTGCATGTGTCCAAAAATAAATTATTCCTTACCCCATATTAAATTATTGCAGATTTTCTTTCTGCAATACTTAAAAACACTCAGGGGAGCAGTTGACAGGAAATGCCTCTGAAGAAGGGCCACTTCCTCCAGAATATTTTGCAGTAGCTGCCATGCACACATGCCCAGAACATAAGATGTAATTAAATTCCGGAATACTAGTTTAATTGTTCTAAATTCTTTTCTTGTTGTCCTTGCACTATTAATGGCAGCATTATTTTACAATTGTAGTCCAAACTGGAGAATCGGGACTATCGAGATGCTCAGGAATTTGCAGCTGATGTCCGATTGATGTTTTCTAATTGTTACAAATACAACCCTCCTGACCATGAAGTGGTTGCTATGGCACGGAAACTGCAGGTATTTATTTATTTATTTATTTATTTATTTATTTATTTATTTTTCAGAACTGCCTTTTTCCTACAAAGGGCTCAAGGCAGCTTACATCATTCTTCTCCTCCATCTTATCCTCACAACAACAACCCTGTGAGGTAGGTTGGGCTGAGAGTCTGTGACTGGCCCAAAGTCACTCGGTTGGCTCCATGGCTGAGCAGGGACTAGAACCCAGATCGTCTGAGTCCCAGTCCCACGCTCTTAACCACTACACCACACTGGCCCTTCTGGTATATAAAAGATGTATTCTGGTATATAAAAGATGGTATATAAAAGATATATTCAAAAAACCTTACTGCTTTACATTTATACATTTTTAAAGTTCAAAAACTAATTTTGAAAACAAATTATTCATTGTAAGATTAAGTGTATGGTTTAATTTTCCTAGATAAGATTTTTCTCTTTATAATTTACATTTCTATTAAGTCTGCTTTTGACAGCGCTTGCCTTGGTTGATAAAGGGTAACCTTGTTGATTGTCCTGGTCCATGGTATCCTTCTGGATTGCCTCTCTCAGTTTGGAATTGGGGATAGCATGGGTAGCTGTGCTTCTTCGAGCATGATAGGTTTCTGAACATGGAGCTACAGGACTGTTATGCATGTTGATTATTGTATTCTCCCCAGGATGTGTTTGAAATGCGCTTTGCAAAAATGCCAGATGAACCTGAAGAACCTGTGATTCCAGCTTCCTCACCAGTAGTGGTACAGCCCCCACCCAAAGTGCCCCCACCTTCATCCAGTGATAGCAGCAGTGACAGCTCCTCTGATAGTGACAGTTCATCAGATGATTCTGAAGAGGAGCGAGCTCAGAGGCTAGCAGAGCTCCAGGAACAGGTAAAACTTTTAAGTATCCTCTTGGGACTCCAACTCCTATCCAGTTACCTGCTTAGCTCTGGCTTCCAGGCTTGGGGTCACCTTTCTGCATAGCAACTGCATATATAGTCTGGGTCTCCTAGTCCACATTGTACTACCTAAGTAGTCCACTGTTGTACTGTCTAAAATTTGGGTGGGACTTAAGCAAAGACAGGGAAGCCACCATAGGTCCAAAGATCTCAAGTCCAAAGCAAGTATATGGTGCTTTTGGTGGGCAAAGTGAATGTGGCTTTCCACCCTCACTCTTATAATTTTACTTGAAAGTTTAGATAGGGCTTACTTTCCCACAAGATCCTCCTGCATGTACTTTTGAACAGCTAGGCCAAGAATGGTAATTTCTTGCCACCTGCCTGGCTGGGTAAAGACATTGCGACAGCAGCATCCAAGCCTCTTCATCACCTGCCATGCCTTTTCTTCTGTAAAGGAAGAAAGGTCAGCAAGGAAAGGTGCTGATTCCAGTTTTTACCCCATGTGACTGGACACTGTGGGCTTCTTGGCCATGCAGCTGCCAAGAAAACAAGTCTCAGCTATCCACCTAGCTTTGAAGCTAAGAAAGGAAGCTGGAAAAGGGGCTGGTAGCTCATCATGCTCACTAGAGGCTTCTCTGTACTCTCCATGGTGAGTGGAATTGTTCAGGGCTTTGAGTCATTCTCTTTACACCATCCATCCTGTGTTAGGGTGAGGAGAGGTGAACTCCCGACTAAGAATCAAGTGTACACCACATATAACTGGAATAGTCTGTGCTTCCTCCTTTTTGTATGCTGATTGGTGAAGGAAGGAGCGAAAGAACCACCCTGCTCTACTGTGCCAGTCTGTGCTCCCCCCAGCATGTAGAGAGTTAAGGAAATAATATACCACCCTCTCTTTCTCAGTAGGCAGTAGTACTGATGCAGGCATGATTTTTTTCTCTCACACATTGAGCATATGTGCGCTCGCGCGCTCTCCCTCTCCCTCTCCCTCTCCCTCTCTCACACACACACACACGTTCTCTCTTTCCTTGAAAAAGTAATTAGATAGGCATCAGAAACAGACAGTAGTGGTCATCTCAAAAAGGCAGGTGGAGAGAATAAAGAATGCTGATAAAGATAAACAAGAAAATTATATTGATCCATGTCTCTGCTCCTTAGCTTAAAGCAGTGCATGAGCAGTTGGCTGCCTTGTCCCAGCCACAACAGAACAAACCAAAGAAAAAGGAGAAGGACAAGAAAGAAAAGAAAAAAGAGAAGCACAAAAAGAAGGAAGAAGTAGAAGAGAGTAAGAAAAATAAAACCAAGGATCCACCACCTAAGAAGGTCAAAAAGAATAATGGCAGTAGCAGTAATTCAAGGTCAGCCCCGTTTGCATTACTTACTCTTTAGTTTCTGTTTGATTTGTTTGGATTGAGAAATAATGTCAGAGGTATGGCAGAACCTCCATTACTTCAGGTACCTGAAACCTCTAATTGAACTGGTGTTACTTTCAATCATGTAATATTTCAATAGCATGAGTTTAATTAAATGGTGCCACCTTTCTTTTGAATGAATAATTCTATAATTGTAGGAGTCTTCTGGGCTTTTGGAGTAACTGTTATTAGTATTTTTGATTTAGAAAATTGCTCTCCTTATACAAAACCTTAGTTGATCAGTTTCCACAGCAGAATGATGAGCAATGTAAGAAAGTCTTAGTGCCAGTGAAATCAGTTGCAGTAGTAAACTATGTGGCTCCTAAGATATTAAAGTTTTGTCCATGCTTTGTCAAAGATTTGATAACATAGGAATCTTCAGATCCTAGACTAGGTTGCTGTGTTGAGCGGTTACAGTTATGATGTGTATTCCATGTTTTTTGTCATTTGTTTGCCCAAATAGGATCATTCTCTTACTGAATCTTCATAAAGCTTGTGTCTTAAGCCTATCTCCATAGATACCTGGTTCATAGAGAAATTGTACATTCTTCTGTACTAGCTTCTGGAATTTTGCCAAATGTGTACATTCAGGTTGAAATAGACTCAGAATTGAAATGGGTGCTGCTGGAGAGTTGTGCATAAAAATATAATACCTGATGGTAAATTATTTTGAACAAAATTGGTTAGCTTAAAAAAGATTTGTTGAGCTGTGTTGCAGAAAGATAGGACAAGGAGCAGATGGAATTAGTCAAGGAGCAGATTTGGCCCCTTGAATAGTTCTTTGTGGTCTCAGTGCAGTCTCAGATACAGGGTTCTATGTCTGTGTAGAGCCAACTGCATGACACTCTATAGCTCTAGCCAAGGAGCTGGGTTTCCTTTTAAGGATCTGCACCTTCAAAAGAAGAGGTGAGTGCCTTTCTGTTCTTCTTTTTAAATTCTACAACAGCAACAGCTTAGTTAGCCCTTTCTGTGGTGTTAATTCCCCACAATGAACTTCTTTAGATAAGGAGTTTTGTTTTATTCAGTATTCATAATATAATTGCCATGACTCCACTGGCGATTGCCACTTTTTATTGAGATGGCTCTTTCAGCATTTTTGTATGTATAGGTCCCAGTAGACATATTTTAAAAGTACCACTTTTAGAGGGGAAAGGGCCCTGCAATTGAGGAGAATGATCAGTGATGAATCAAAGAAGAGCAAAGAAACACACCAAACAGCACCAGACCTTATGGTGGTGGATGTATCCAATCTAGTTTGTTCCCAGCCAACTTATTCTGTATACCCCTGCCTTACTCTGGTGAACCTAGTATTCAAATGGTGGAACAAATGTTGCATTTTCCAAGAACATGTCTCCAGGCTACAGTCTTGACTCAGATAGCCAAGTGGAAGTTATGTGTCTTAGCCCTGCAAGCTCCTCCCATTTGTCTCTGTTTCATGTTACATCATCAGTCCATTCTTACATGCACCAGAAGCACAGGAATCAAATAGAGAAATGGGGGTTTTGGTTGTTGGGAGTTTCTTCTTGAGGAGAGAGTTCCCTTTTGGATTCTTATTCATACAGAAGCACTCAGTGGGAAGATTGTGAAGCACAACTGTGGCAGATATACCAGTGCTTCCTTGTTTTTCACAGAAACATGTATTCTGCACTGCTTTCACTCTGTATCTTTTTTACTTGTGCCTTGATAGACAGGATGGTTGTAATGCCCTCCATCTTTTCCAGAACTATTTGCAAGGGACTTTGCTGCCTGAGACAAAATGAGAAATGGAACTCTTTGGTAATCAAAACTAGTTAGCTTATTTTGGTACTTGTGGCAACCCCCTCCCCCCCACCAAAAGTGCATCCCCCATGTCCTGGCAGTAACATTAGTATAATATTAAGCTAGATAAGTAACAGTTTTCCTTTCCTTTAATGACATCATTGATTAGGTATCTAAGGCAACTCTACATACTTGGTGACTAATAAATAATGAGTAACGTATGTCCATAAGTTGACAGCAGTTTTGACTGCTTCAGGCCAGAAACCTATGCACACTTGCCAAACAGAGCATGCAGAGTATGGGCTGCTGTCAGCATGAGCCTATCAGTGATTGCTCAGAAGTAATTGCCATTGCAGTAATCACTGATTCTTACTCCGAAATAAGAATGCATAACATGGCAGCCTTCATGGGAAGGATTATAGTCGCACTGGGAAATGTGGGAGTACAAACAAGTTGCAGTAAACTGGGACTTACTCCTGCAGCAACATGCATGGACTGAGCCTCTTATTTATTTAGAACAGGACTTTGCAACATGCCACCCCTTGCCAGATCCACACGTGAGAAAAATAAGTGATGTTTATAGCAGCTGTGAGGTGATAAAAGGACTACATTTACACTTTGTGGTGCTCTGTAGAACTGTGGAACAGTCTGATGTCAAGTTTTTGCAGCAAACTGCTGTGGTGGTGTTTTTTTTGGAAGGATACCCCACTGAGTGCTGTGTGTGCAAGAACAGAAATGCCCCACAAGCTATTTCAGTTACACAACCCTGATTTATAAGATGATTCCCATTACCTATAACAAGAATCCAACTTGTTCCTCTTCTTTCTGAACCCATGAATAGCTCTTGGATTAGAGTTGCCCAGTCATTTGTCACAGAAAATTTTCAGAGTTTCCTTAAATCTCATAGTATCTGCTCTGCCAAGTAGGCAGTACGAACAAATTGAGAAGGAAGAGACAAAGAGTAAGAATTTATTTTTAATTATAGTAGAGTTTCCCTCTCAGATTTTTTTCCTTTCAGGGGACAATATTTCAGTGTAAAACCAAAGAAAGAGAAATATTACTATTAAATTTAGCAGTTTCAAAATAGCCTTGCATACCCGTGGATTATCTTCAGGCAGGATAACATGTTCCTTGGATAGAACTATTTTAAGAGAATTTATTGTGTGACTGCATGGATTGATCATTCAAGCACAGATCAATTAGAGATAAACAACTTGAATTTCTTCTTTGTAGGGATTTTTTTTAGTTTAGGTAATGCAGTAATGCACTTAAAAAGATGTTGACTCTGTATTAGGTATGTCAGGAATTGTGCCTTGGATAACAAGATTAAATTGGGACCGCATAAATACACTTCTTTAGTAAGGATGTACTTGCTAACTATCATAGAACTGATGACTCCAAGTCCAGCTTAAATTGTTTTTTCATTAGTTCTATCTGAATATCATGGCATTGTCTGGGCGTATTGGCATTAATGCAGGGCATCCTGAGAGTAGATTGTGCCCATGAAGGAGCAGCAGTTTGTTTATTTTACTGCAGCTTAGTTTTGTTTTCCTATGTGCTCTTGTACAAGTTCCTTTTTCCTATTTTTGAGTAATTGGTGAATGTGGTCTGGCATGGGAAATTTGCCATTTAGAAACTATAGGAGTCCCCAGTTGCTCTCTTTGTCTTGAAAATGAGTAATTGGATTGTGATCACTAATTTTCTTACTCAGAGTAATTTAGCTGTCTAATGTACTGTGGTTCCTTTAACAGTGTGCTCTCTTTTACAGGGATAACAGAGCATCCTCTTCTTTATTCTACTTGTCCTTTCAGCTGTGTTGTTGAGTTACTGAAACAATAGTATTTAGCACTTATATAGCACTTTTGTGTTTCCAGTAGATTGCACATATATTATTTCTGTAATCTTTACTGCACCTCTGTAAGCTAGTCAAGTACTACTCTTCCCAGATTGCATATGAAAGCTTGTCTGAAGTCATCTAGTAAGTTTTGACAGGTACAATTTCAAGTTTAAATTTGCTGAATTACTCCTCAGATTGTTAGATAATCAGTTACAGCCTCAGACTACAGTAGACACTGCTAAGAAAAATTTAAGTATCGTTAACATGTCTTAAAATAATATATTATCTGTATCATTTTGCTTCTTAAAATAATTCATTATAATTGTTCTTTAAAGTAGTAAGAAGGAGCCTGTGACTGTGAAGAACACGAAGCCACCTCCTGCTTATGAGTCTGAGGAGGAGGAGAAATGTAAGCCAATGTCTTACGAGGAAAAAAGACAATTGAGCCTGGACATTAACAAACTCCCTGGTGAGAAACTAGGCCGGGTTGTCCATATCATCCAGTCAAGAGAACCCTCACTCAAAAACTCCAATCCTGATGAGATTGAAATTGACTTTGAGACATTAAAGGCATCCACATTGCGGGAGCTGGAGAGATACGTAACGTCTTGTTTACGAAAAAAGAGGAAACCTCAAGGTACCTTTCAAGCTCAGAACAGTTGATTCACATTCCAATGATGTTTATTAAGTCAATTACCACTGTGTAGAAAAGGAGAAACCTGTTAGCATTCAAACACTGTGAACTCATAGAAGGAAAAAGAGTCTCTTATTTTGGAGATAAAGCCTTTTGAGCAAATGATGGATTAGGCTAATAACAAAGGAGCAGATATGTTAGATGTTATCATTGGACTTTATCTTACTAGTCTTTGGTACAGGCCATTGGATCATTGTGTTCCTCTGGTTAAGACTACATTACACATATTTTCTTCAGACAGCTTCAAACCTCTCATTTTAGTTGTGCATTTATATCTGTTATAGTTTATTTTAACTGCTTTGTAAAACCTCACATTTTCTATTTATTGTGAAACTGCTCATCTCAGATAGATACAGCTTTTTTAGGTACAAGAATGTTTCTAAGATAAGTAGGTGATATCTTAAAAAACAATTAAACTCTCTGTTAGATTATTTTTGAAGTTTTAAAGGGTGTTAGCAACAATTCTCTGCTTTTTTATAAACATTATTTCAAAGAAGACTAAAGGTTTCTGAAAGAGATACACAGCAGCAAATGAAAAGATTTCAAAGTGGCTGTCACCAAGAGGTGGGGCACCAAAATGCCAAAGTTATTAACTAATATTATTTGGACAAGTTTGAAAGCTTTACTGGACTAACTATACATCCCTTTAATTCTTTGTTATTATAAGGCAAACTCTACATGCCTTTGTTGAAAGTTTGAGAAAAGAAGCAGAATAGCAATTTTTCACTGCCCTTCTGAAAGTAAAATTCAACCAAATTAAAGCATATCAGTATGCAGAAAAATGCCAGGTGGGGAAAACTGGTAGTTCACAGTATTTAACATGCGTATCACAAAACACAAGAATGGGTTCTGGGTTAGGCTCTTGTCCAATGATGATATTGTGCTATTATTTTGTTGCAGCAGAGAAAGTGGATGTAATTGCTGGTTCCTCTAAAATGAAGGGGTTCTCCTCCTCAGAGTCTGAGAGCACCAGTGAGTCCAGCTCTACCGACAGTGAAGATTCAGAAACAGGTTAGATGCAGATTATTTAAAGACAGTCCTATACCTGTTTCCTGTATAAATAAATATGTTTTTAGTACTGGCTTGGTCTTTTTAATCTTTCTAAATTTGTAATTAAAACAGTATATACAGTTTATATATGTGAAGCTTTCCCAGTTTGGATCCAACAATATAATGAGAATGTGCAACTTAATTGTTATGAAGTTCATTGAACTATATTGTAAATTGATGGAGCCACTTTATAATTGTGCCAAGATACTATTTTATTTGTCTGATGGCCTGAATTTGCAGACTAAGAACATTATGTTTTCTAAACTAGCTTCTTGTCTTATTGAGAAGATATACTTTTATTAAGGAATAAAGCTAGTTCACCAGAAAGTGGCAATAGTGTGTGTGTGTGTGTGTGTGTGTGTGTTTGTGTGTGTGTGTGTGTAAAAAATGTCATTTTTGGGAAGAAATTAGACTAAACTCAGGGCAGAAATGTTCTGAGAAGTCCTTTGGTTATTTTAAATAAACTTTTTCATATGCGGGGAGGGGGCAGGAAAGCATATTAACTTTGAACTCTTTTAGAGGTTTCATATAATTTAAAGTGCAAGTACAAAATGTTTCTTTAAAATAGTATATTGGCCTTCACTTGCATTTTTTGGGTTAAAATTGCTTATTTGGTACTCCCCATCTGATCCAAACATAGTGTTAGAGTCTTTATGGTGCACTTAAAGTATTTTTTAAGATTAATAAATAAGTCTTGTCAATATGGCAGTATAAAATTGTGCACTCTTTCATCACTTTCTTAGTCTGTTACTCTAATGTAGATATTCTTGTGTAACATTTAAGAGTCCATAAGTAGCTCTTTCTTTGGCCAAATGTTAAAGTTTTATTCATTAAATCAATGTTTCAGAATAGATTTGTATTTCAATACATTGGGAATTATACCTTTTTTATATGTATATGAGTTGTAGTCAGGCAGAGGGCTGCTTGGGCAACACTCCCCTCTTCCTCCTGAAAGCACTCCTCAGAGGTTTTCGGGGGCCCTCTGAACGCAGTGGGCTGTGTCTCAGAAAACTGTAGTATGAAGCAGTGGGGAACAAAATTAGATATAGAGAGATCTTGAAAATGGGGGGAAAGATTGCTTGACTTCTTTTTTCATCTTTGTGTGGTTTGTCTAGCATTTTAAAAGCCTAGGGTTTGTCTGGGATAGTAGGGATTCTGCAATACGGATACTCTTGAAATGCTGGTTTTAGATTTTAAATTATTTCCTGATTTTTCTGATCTATGCCCACTTCTAGTTTCTGTTTTATTTCTTGCCCCATTTCTTAGGCCACCATGAATTTCAGTGGCAATTTTCTTTAAAACTAAGAGTAGAATCTCTATGGCACAAGTATTAAAGTTCCACCTCTATATCTGTGACCCAGGTGTTTTAGTTAACAGCACGGTTTTGATAAATGCATGTCTGTTGCTGTCAAAACATTCACTAGAATGGTTTGAATGCCATTCTTTAAATCAGTAGGACCTTGTCACTAGAGTATGGTCTCCTGCTAAGCATTCCTGAGACAAAGATCCCTGACTAGGAGAGGAAGATCTTATTTTTAAGTTTGTCTGTTTGACTGAGCAAACTTGTTCCTAATAAAAATTTAAATTGGATTAAATGTGAGAATTCTTAATAGAGGCACAGACATGTGTCAACAAAGTGCATTCATGTTTCTCCAAAATGTTTGTTTTAAAAGTACCTTTTTAAAAATTGTAGGAAGTTTGTTTTCCACTTTACTATCATGTGGCAAACCCTTGCTAGTAATGCTTATAGACAAGAATTGGTTAATTGATTGTGAATGATGAGTTATCTACTGAGCTCTGTAATGTAATGGATGTGATGCATACAAAGGATACAGGCCAGGGCTGTGCATTCATGCTGGAATTTGTTGAGAGATTTCCTCTTGACAACTGTCAAACAACATAGGAAAAATGCTGCTTAAACTTCTTAAATTTGATAAAAGCAATTTGGTGATTGGCTGTATTTTCAGAAGGAAACTGTCAGCAGGTACACATCTGTTATTCTCCTTAGTTTTCCTTTAAAAGTTGTATGCTAAATCCCTAACAGTACAATTCCATGTATGCATCCTCAGAAATAAGTCTCCTCAAATTTAATGGGACTTATTTCCAGGTAGGTAAATACTGGATTGTAGCCTAAATTACATTTTAAACTCAAAGAAAGTTAGATAACAATTTGGGGTTCTCTGAGACAGTTCTTAGAAAGAGATATTTCATGAAGAACTCTGCATAGGCAGATCTTAAATGTTTCATGGACAAGAGGTATCTAAACTTCAAGGGTACAATCATTATTATTTAGTATTATTGCTCTGCATTTATATGACACTCTTGCAAGGAACACAAGATGGCTTATATAGTCCTGTCCCTTTCACTTTATCCTCACAACAATCTTGTGAGGTAGGTTAGGCTGAGAGTCAGTGACTGGCCTAAAGTCATCCAGTGAATTTCATGGCTGAGTGGGGACTTGAACCTGGATCTCCCAATATCCCAGTTCAGTACTCCCAATATCCCAGTTCAGTAACACTGGCTCTCATATGCATGTTTGCACAGGAAAAAAATCCTACAAATTCCATAGTTCACCCCCCCCTTTGTGTATGTGTATTCTGTCTCTTAAAACTACTTTAGCATGTTCTGTATTTTTACAGAACCTTATGGTGACCTACAAAAAGACAGTTGTGAAAGTAGAGTGTATTTTATTTAGAGTATTTATATCCCACTTTCACAGTCCTATTTCTTTGTTTACCAGAGACATGTAAGTTACTTAACAGGGCTAAGATTAAAATAAAATCAGCCTGTATGTTGCCTTTTACATAAGCACAGGTTTTTTTGATGCCATTAAATTATATTCTGACATATTTCAATATGCCCCTTTTCCGAGATTAACAGCCATGGCCAAACAGTTCAACTTCTTCTAGCTTGTAAAACTGTAATAATTGGGTATTACTTTCACATTATAGTATTGTAGTGCAAGACCAAATCTAGAAACAGTATCTGATTCTGGGGTACGTGGGATGCCCATTTTAGAGTTTTTAAGGTTCTGATAGTGTTTGCCTGTAGTTTTACTTGTATGTGTTAGATCCTAAAAAATACTAAACATACTAAAAATATCTATTCATCCTAAGTAACAAAGCACTTTGCATTTAGGAACAGAAAGGGGGTTAACTTATTAATGAAACCACATCTACTTTCCTCTTGTATATATTCTTCTTTAGCTTGGGTTCTTTCTTTGGACTGTTCAGTTAGTAGGTAGGGTAGAAATCATAGAAGATACCATATGAAAGAAATCTGAATGTAACTGGGGCTTTGCTTTCTTGAATTCACCATACCTGAAGGAGCAGCCTTGTGCAGTTCAAAAAATTGTTCTCTGTCTTTATAGTGATTGTTTCAGGGAAATCAAGGAAGCAAAGTCCGAGTTACATGCACAGTTACATCATTTGCATATGTGTATAATATTCCTTCTTTAGAACCTAGCGACACTGTTTCCTCACTAAATGGTCACTAAAGTGGAACAGCTTAGGCACAAAAAGTATGTAAGCTTTAAGAAAAGTATGTATTTAGAGGAATCAACCAGCTATCATTAGTATAGGTGAACAGATAACAATATTGCTTGCCTGTAATAAAAATTCTGCTGAATTTCTTTGAGACATTTTCTCACTGAAATTTTGATAAAACAATTTAAAAGACTCTAAGCACCAACACATTCATTTATGTTAATGATAGATGTAGATCATTCTTCCAACATATGATTTTTAACAAAGAATAGTGAAGGTGGCATCTTTGATATGTTTAATTGTATACTGGTCATTATACTTTCCTGAATGAAGTATTAGCCTTTCAGCAATTCTAAGCATAATTTCAGTGAAAGCTTTTGTTCTGTAAAAGGTTCCAGGTTTACAAGATCTGCAGGTGTTTATGTTTTTATTTACAGTAACTTAATGTTAATACACTATCTTGGGAATCTAAATACTTTTGTTTAATAATGGTAATATAAGGACAGTAAAATTTATATTCTGTATTTGGCTGATGACACGGACAAGTATATTAAAATTGGAGAGAAGAAGAAGCATGAAGGCAAACGTCTTATCTTTACTTCTGCCCAGCAAAACAGTTTGGTAACCAGTTTAAGCTGTCAAAGGATTTTGCCCTGGAGCATGAGGAAAAGAGGCTGCAAGGCCACCACAATACTGAGTGCTGGCTTGACTCTTGTCACTCTCAAAACTCTTACTCTGCAGCCGCAGAGGGGCAGCCAGCACTGTTTTTTCTATCCTGGCAGCAAGGGTGGAATGGAGGCACTCTCAATTAAAGGTCCAACCTTGGAACAGGTTTTTGGGGTTAGCACTGGGGTGCCAAATAATCCTATGGCTGTCAAATGCTCATAGGATTGTGCCCTTAGTTACTTTGCATTTTGATTGATCTTCTGTTCAAGCCTAAATAGCCCCTGGACCACCCACCCCACACACAAGTAATTCTATTAATAAAGTTGTTATTTTGATATATCTTGCTGTTATTTTCTTTAAAAATGATTTCATACATTTAGGCTGTCTTCCATATCCATTCAAATAAATTAGATGGGAGTTTTTAATTGCTTTGGTTGTAGACTGTACCACAGAGGCTTGTGAAATAGACTTAGTTCTCAGAAAGAGTAGATAAGGAATTGGAGTTTGTACAGGTAGTCCCCAGGTTACAAATGAGTGCTCTTCCTGAGAAAACAGAAATTTGACTTTAAGTTGAATTTATACATAAGTCAGATCACTTATAATTGGCCTTCTACATTAGCAGGAGTCAGGGGTGCAGAACCCCCATGGAACTGGAAAACCTGCAACTATCTCTAAGCACCCCCCCCCCCAAATCACCTGTGCCTTCTCTTTGGGGCAAAGAAATGCTGGAGGGATTTCCCTCTCCAGATGGGTGGGGCAGGAAGGCATGCTTTGGAGGCCCCCCTCCCTCCTCTTTCATTTCCTTTCTCC